CCCCCCAGGCCCCGGTGGCCCCGCTTCCCCTTTCTGTTTTTCTGCTGCCAGGAGTTTGGGGCTGCTGGGCGGTGGCGGGGGAGCAGCTGTGTGCTTGGCACCGAGGAAGGGCGTCGCTGGCTGCCTTTCCCCGCAAAGGCCTTGTTGGCGGCTGCCATCGTCGAAGCCTCGCTTGCCCCTCCCTGTGCGCAAAGGGAAGAAAGCCGCGGCGCCGTTTGGGGCTGGTTTGGGGCCGACCCGGACAGCAGGGGAGCAGCCTGCCCGAGGCCGCGGTCTCCCTGAAGGGCGCGGGCGCCTGTTGCGCGCGGGGGGGTGTCAGAGGCTCCCCCTCCCTTTGCCCCCCCCACCAAGGGGCCAGTTACACAAGCCACCCCTCGGCCACTTCCTCTCCTGCCCCCCCCTCCTGAGCCGCCGGGTCAAAGAGTGACGTAGCCTTCCTTTGGGCCAATGGGGGAGCGGTTTCTCCGCAAAAGGAGACGCCACTGGACGGTTTTACTGCTGGCACGGGGGGTGGAGAATAATACTAGCGTGTATAACATTCTGTTCCAGGAAGGGAGGAAGGACGGACGGGAGAGTTCTGCGAAGGGTTGCGGCGGTGGCGGGCAGTTCAGGGAATTCTGCTCCTCTGGCTTGGATGGGAAAGTTACCCGAGAGCCCTGCGAAAACAAACAGGAAGTCTAGCGGCATTTTAAAAGCTTAACATTTTATTTCAGCAGAAAAGAGCAGGAGGAGTCCACTTGGCACTTTAGAGACTAACTGCTCCCCTCTTCAGATGCAGCGAGTGAATCTTCACTACGCGGTCGTTTAATGTAGGAATGTTAAGTGGGGAAGCCAGCAGGAGCGAAGGGGCGGTGAAACGTAATGATGTGACATTCAGCGGTGATCAGGACAAGTATCCACCCCTCACAGATGCTGACTAGTTCAGCTAAAGGACTGAATGGTCTCCGTGTTTGTCTTGATTAATTTGAATGTTACAGCATTTTATTTCACCCTGTACTTACCGGATTTCATGGCCCTTTAACCATGTTTGTTAATTTTTTTCATGCTCCCTACATAAAGAGTCTGCCACAGTGAGGAGGTACTCATTGCATCTGCAGAAGTCAGCTTTCTTTCATGAAAACATACCCTGGAATAAAAACCATTTTTTTAACCAAGTCTTCAAAGTGCAACTGGAGTCCTGTTTATTTTTGTTGCAGCACACTACCTCTCTGAACAGATATCCCTCACATACTGATCCTGTGCATGTTTAGCCAGAAGAAAGACCCATTTAATTCATTGGGGCATAAGTAAGTGTGCACATCGCACCATGACTCTTCATTCAGTGTCCTTTGTTGACCATGATACCCCTGGTATATGCAGGAGAGAGCAGAAATCCAGAAAGTAACGATTACACATTATACCTTTTACACTCAGGATTGATTAATGTAGAAGAAGGATCGTTTCTTAGTTCAGATGATGTCACCTCCGAGACCCAACCACTTCTAGTATAGGAACCACTTCTCATGGTAATTTTTAGCTGCCAGTGAGCTATGCAGAGCAATTCATGTGCAGACCTGTTGCACATGTGCGATTTAGCATGCCACGCAGTGGTTCTTTGTTTCCTTACTTTGGCTGCGGTCACACGGAGCATTAGCCACGCTACAGAGAAGGAAGATAGGAGGATTTTCCGGGCGCAATCACACCGCAACATCTGGGAAGCGTAGAGCTCCCGTGTCTAACCTGAGGCTTCCCGCTGAAGATGTGGCGTAAAAAACTAGTACCTCTGAGGTACTAGTTTCCAGAAACCGTGGGGCAAGGGCGGGCGTCTGATCGCGTTTCCGGTGGTAGTTCGTGGCATCCGGCGCCCGCCCATGTCCCGTTGCAAAAAGGTTCCCCCCCCAAGTCTCCACGGGATGCGCACAAGCACCCAACGCCGCATGCGCACACTTCAGTTAAAAAACACAACGGCAGTGGCGCCTAGCCATTGCTGCTGTGATCGCGCTGCTTCTTTGCCACACCGCAGGATTGTCGTGTGATCAGCACCTCCCCTCGAACCACGGGACGTTGGCGGGACGTGTGATCCGGCGGCCGCACTTTAGTTTGCTCCAGGGCAAACAGCCCCCCCCCCCCCGCATTTTCCGGCCTGTGTGACTGGGGCCTTTTCCATCACATTTGACCACAAGAGAATGCTAAATTCTAGCACTGTAAATTGTAGAAAGAGACACAGTATAAAACAAATCAATAGGAAGTTCTCCAAGTTCTGCATAAATAATACACATTTAAGTACATTTAAAATAATTATGTCTGCATAACTTATTTTACTTATGCTGGTATTTAGGAGTGAAGCAGGACAAAGACCTGATCACTGCAAAACCTGAGTAGCTTCCCATTGTTATGTGTATGGTTTTATGAAGCATTTTTCAAGGTCTCTGTTTCTGTCATATTGTTGCATGTGAGTGTGTGTTGAATAGCCCTCTGTAAAAGTTATGCATGTTAAAATCAACACATGTGGAGGCCAAGTCTGTGTGGGCTCGCTGGTCCTCTCCTCTGTCTACATGTGATCAGTGGCTTCTGAGCATAGCGTTTATGTACGTTCCCTTCCCTTTATCAGAAACATTTGAAAAAGCAGCATTCCCAATTGCAGAGCTAGTGCCTATGTGCACACCCTTAACATGCACATAGACACCCATGTTCATGAGTTGGCCAGTTCACATAGGCCACTCCCCCTCTGTGTATGTTGAATTAAATGAGTGTAGTGTGCCCTGCCCTGGATGGCTCAGGCCAGCCCAAACTCATGACGTTTTGGAAGCTAAGCAGGGGTGGCCCAGGCTGGTACGTGGGTGGGAGACCTCCAAGGAAGTCCAGGGTCGCTTCCTCTGTTTCTGGCCTTGAAAATCCTGCGGGGTTGCCATAAGTTGGGTGCGACTTGATGGTACTTTCCACCACCACCAATATTGTCTTTAGATGACTTGTGTGTTTTAAGAAACAAAGACAGAGATTCTCAGGATATTTGATTGTAAGTAAAGGTAAAGGTTCCCCTTGCTCGAAAGCCAGTCGAATCCGACTCTAGGGTGCGGTGCTCATCTCCGTTTCCAAGCCAAAGAGCCAGTGCTGTCTGAAGACGTTTCTGTGGTCATGTGGCCGGCATGACAAGAAGCCAAGGTGCACGGAATGCTGTTACCTTCCCACCGAAGCGGTACCTATTTATCTACTTGCAATTTCTTGCTTCCGAACTGCTAGCTTGGCAGGAGCTGGAACTAGCGATGGGGGCTCACTCCATCATATGGCACTCGGGTCTCGGAACTGCGGACCTACCAACTTTCTGGTCTGCAGTTCAGTTCTGACCTTACACAGTGCAGTTGTGGAATACATAGAGGCTTACCTATAAATATATAGAAGATAATTATTGGTACCAGATGTGTGTCAAAATGATAGCATCCCTTGGCAAAATGGTGGTGGTAAATCAGTCTCATTATGTGGCAAAAAAAGCTTAACAAATGCTCTGTTCAAAAACATTCTCCCATGTCTGACCTAGATTCCCAAGAAGTAAGGAAGTGGGCAGCAAAGAAGCTGATAGGTGTTTTGAGTTCTTTCATTTTTACCAAAGCAGGGGGCATCCCAGGGGGAAAAAACCTCTTTGCAGAAACTTACAGAGGGCTGCTGCTAGATAGGCTGGTCTCCATCTAACCAACTGGCCTGATCTGGTAAAGATGCATCTTCAGTCCACCATCCAGCTACTGTGGGCTTCAGTTTTTACTGCCTGCCTCTGAATGCAAAAACAAAATGGGATGGTAGTGTGAAATTTGGGGAAGTTGGAAAAAATTGAAATACATGCAAGACTTACTTTCCTATCAAACTTAAATTTTTTAAAATTGATTTAATAACATAAAGCACGTCATTTATAACTTAATTCTCCTTTGCAGTTGCACTATTTGGTACGGTTATGTGATTTAAAAATATGAATGGCTTCTTTCTCTATAAGAAAATTGCAAGTTTACGCAATACTTGAGTAAGAGCTGCAAACTGCTGCATTTTAAAAGTCCTCAGACTTTTTCATGAATTACATTTTGAGTGGTAGAAAACTTGCCTTAAGAAGCATTTTACTCATTCTAGAGGAGAAAATATTTCATAGGAACTGGGGGGGGTGTTTTGCTAGTGTTCACCCAAATCTTCCAATATCTCTTTTGGAAAAAACCCAACAACCCTTGAGGCTTTCACATCTCTAATCCTCACAGCAACCTTCTGATGTAGGTTA